TATATATAAGCTACAATTAACCAGCATACATTTCACTGACTGTGGTGTTGAGATTGGTCCCAGTGTTGAGAGTGATTAGTGGCTTTAAAGGATCGATTGGATTCTGACTGTGTTATCTTTGCAATATTCGTAGTGCACAAACAAAAAGTGGCTGCTAGTAGGACAATGTCTGCTGTGTCTGTTTTATTTGGATGCTTCCGCTCAGAACTTGCTGAGAGGCGGCAGCGCGCCCGCCTTCACGAACACAGCTGAGAGCAGGTCTGCAGGCCCTGAGGGGTGAGGCAGAGCTGTGGCCGAGGGGTCAGAGTTCACAGCTGTGGGAAGCTTCAGTGTGGATTTAACTGGACCACTGTCTCCACATCCACCCAAACTAGTCTTGCTGTTTTCCACTGTGGGAATGATTGTGCCCAGGTCGGGGTTTCCTACCGCAGGTGACCCAGAGGTGTCCATGCCCGTCTGACACCAGCACAGCAACCGGAAGAAGGCAGACCTCATCTCCCTGCTGGACAGAGTGTATATGAGAGGGTTGAGAGCAGAGTTGAGCACAGCCAGGCCAATGAACAAGTCCACCTGATAGAGGACTGGGCACCTGTCTGGGCTACAGCCAACATCCAGCAAGAACAGAAAGAACAGGGGGGCCCAGCACACAACAAACACCCCAAGAACAATGACCACTGTCCGCAGCAGGGCCAGAGAGCGCTCCGAGGGCCGACTGCTCACCCTGCGCCCGCTTGAGGTCACCAGACGGTAGATCCTGATATAAAGGATGATGATAGCAAGCAGCAGGATGCTGAAAACACTAATGCAGAAAGCGATGTAACTTTTGGCATAAAGTGGCAGCACTGTGGAGCAGGAGCTCAGGTTGTTCAGGCAGTTCCAGCCGAGGCTGGGCAGGGCACTGAGCAGCACTGACACACACCAGCAGGCCGCCAGCAGAGCGAGAAGTCGACCTCGACTGGCTGTCTCACAGGGACGCAGACGTACCATCGTCATGTGCCTCTCGATACCGATGGCCAGGAGGCTGAAGGTGGAGGCGCTGAGGGCCACAAACATACTTCCCTCTCTAGCCAGCCACAGCATCGGCGTCAGGAAGAAGGTGTTACGTCCCGAGGTGAAGATGTTCACCACAAAAGCCACACCGGTGAGGAGGTCAGACAGCGCCAGGTTTCCGATGAGAAAGTACATGCGGCTGTGGAAACGCTTGTTCCTCCACAGAGCAAGCAGAACGGTGATGTTCTCCAGAACGATCAGCACGCAGATGAGGAGCAGCACGGCCATCTTGCAGGCCCCGCCGCTGCGAGGACGGTCCCACTTTCCTGAGTGGTTGTAGTGCCTGACGATGACCTCATTCATCCCGTGCTCCAGTATGTTGTCCATGTCGCCTGCCTGGCCTGGGCCCATCCCGACCTTTCCTCGGCCACGCAGCAGAGGGCGTCACAGCACCGGGGAGCGAAGATGCTCAGCCAGGCAGAGTCACAGCGGCCATCCTCTCATGGACCTGTACCAAACAAAAAAACAGAAAACCATTAGCTAGTTTAGATTAATATTAGCTGGAGTTGAAAAGACAATGGAAATCAGATATCTGAACAAAGTCAGTTAATTAACGGAGGCGAAAAAAATCTCAGACAACTGTAAACATGTCTAAATAAAAATGCATTGAAAAACTAGCCAAAGCATAAAGATCTTAATTTTCTTTCTCCATTTTCATGGCATACTTAACTAAAAAATAAAAAGTTATAAATATATGCCAATTGTCAGTTATTTCGTAAGGAAATCTCTTTTTTAATCAGCTCCTAAAGAAAACTCAGTTTCAAAGAAGTTTTAAACTCCAATCTGCTTTTCTTTTTTTCTTTCTTTAAAAATGTTTTAATTCAAACAATTCCCAATACACACGTTTTAACGTTCATACTTTCTTTGAAAACTAAGGGACAAAATGTAAAACCATACTAACAAAGTTTTTATAAACTTCTTGTATCATTCTTCTCCTTTAAAGAAACTGGTCCAGATGACATGATTTATCTACCTGGATAACTGGTCTTACAAACCTTTTATCATTCAAGCCCATTTATTTTCCTACCTTTTCCAGTTATTGATCTCCTTTAGAACATCCCAGTGGAGTGATGAGATTTCCAGAATTTGGATGATTTTTCTTCTTTTTGTGGAACAATATGAGACTGGTTATGAAATAACTATAAAAATATTCAAGAAGTCAAAATTCCTTGGTAGTTTTAAAACATCCCATAGCTTGATATTATCCGTCAAACGCCACAGTGAGTCCTGTCCTGAACTTTTTCAGTCTTTTGTGTACACTGAAGTCCTCAGTCCTGCCTGTGCCCTTCCCTCCTCTTCCTCCTCCTCCTCCTCCACCTCTCTCCTCTCAGCTGCTGAGGCGGGATCTTCCGTCGAACTGATTCCTGTTAAATTTGTGTTGAGAGAGCTCGTACCGGGAATCCAAATTCAGTTCAGTTTATTTATATAGCGTCAAGTCACAGTCATCTCAGGGCACTGAACAGAAACTTCCATATATATATATATATATATATATATATATATATATATATATATAAGTTAATACTATTTATCTGAGGAGCAGACTGCTTTGAATTTAACTCCATCACATAACTCTCATTTTGAGCAAGCACAAAGGCAACAGTGGAAAGGAAAAATTCCCTCATGAGGAAGAAACCTATAGCAGAACCAGGCTCAGGACAAGCGGCCATCTGCTTCGACCAGCTGGGTTTGAGAGTTAGTAGGAGAGATCATATCTCTCCAGTTTTAGCTTCTCGCCATTGGCTCCTGGTCAAGTCCAGAACTGAATTCAAAATCTTACTTCTAACCTACAAAATTCTCAACAACCTAGCTCCATCTTATATTCAAGATCTTATTGTTCCATGTTTTCCTAACATAACACATCTCTCTCAGACTGCAGGTTTACTTGCAGTTCCTAGAGTTTCCAAAAACAGAATGGGAGGAAGATCTTTCAGTTATCAGGCTCCTCTCTTGTGGAACCAACTTCCAGTTTCTGTCCATAAGGCTGACACATTGGCCAGTTTTAAGACTGGGCTTAAGACTTTCCTTTTTGATCAGTCCTATAGTTCAAACTCTGGCAGCAGCATTTTGGATCAACTGAAGACGTTTTAAAGACGTTTTTGGACACCCAGATAATAAACCATTGCAATAGTCCAGTCTAGACGTGACAAATGCATGAAACAGTTTTTCTGCATCATTTTTAGATAAGATGTTTCTAATTTTAGTGATATTACACAGGTGGACGAAGGTGGTTTTAGTAACATTTTTAATGTGGGGGATAAAAGACAGTCCTGATCAAAAATAACACCAAGATTTTTAACATTAGAGCTGGAGGCCAGATTAGTGCCATCTAAGGAGGGAGAAAGACTGAAAAACGTATTCCTGAGATGCTCAGGTCCAAAAACTAAAACCTCAGTCTTGTCTGTGTTCAAACTGAGAAAATTAAAGGTCATCCAGGCTTTTATGTCTTTAAGACATGCTTGTAGTGTAAGTAGCTGATGGGATTCATTGGGATTCATGGACAAATATAACTGCTCTGTTGTGCCTGTCTATAACTGCTGATATCATCAGCATAACAATGAAACATTATCCCATGCTGTTTAATAACATTGCCTAATGGAAGCATCTGCTGTGGAAGTGGTCTCCAGCTACAAGTACTTGGGTGTACACCTGAATGACACCCTCTGCTGGGGCAACAACACCACCAGCCTGGTCAAGAAAGCTCATCAGAGACTTTACTTCCTCAGGCGGCTGAGACGAGCTGGTCTGGGAAGCTCAGTCCTCACCTCCTTCTACAGGTGTGCAGTGGAGAGCATCCTGTGCGCCAGCATCAACGTGTGGCAGGGAGGCTGCACAGCTGCAGAAAGAAAAGCTTTGCAGAGAGTGGTGAAGGCTGCACAGAAGTCTGTTGGAGTCAGCCTCCTCACCATCACAGACATTTACACCTCCAGATGAAGGAAGAGAGCCACCTGCTTCATGAAGGACCTCACTCACCCAGCACACACTTTTTGCCCTGCTCCTCCCCAGGAAGGAGGTTGAGGAGCATTAAGTGTAGAACCACTAGACTGAGGAACAGCTTCTACCCTGAGGCTGTTAGACTCATGAATATCTAACTAGGATAATCACTGTGAAAAATCACATCATGTTGCTGCTGATCTGTTTCAAGCTGCTGTGTTCATGCATACTCATCTGCTCACACAGACTCGTTTGTGCTGTTGTTCAGCTATTATTTTTGTACTACTACTACTGCTTAGCAATTTTTTAGTTGATGTTTTTCTTAGTTCATATCTTAGATCGTATTACTGTTTTTCTTTACATTTTATTGTTGAATGTAACTGGGACCCTGTGTACACAGTTTCATTCCACCACCTGTACCACATGCGGTGCGTATGACAAAGAAACTTTGACTCTGACTCTGACATATATAAGGTAAATAATATTGGTTCAAGCACGGAACCCTGAGGAACTCCATGACTAACTTTGGTGTATGAAGATTCATTATTTACATTTACATATGCTGAACTGTAGGAAGATACGTCACATTAAACATTTCTACTTATCAAATAAGACATCAGAAACACTTTTAGTTTTGTTCAGAGATTCAGAGAGAGATTCTTTATTGTCATTTGCACCACATGTGGTACATGCGGTGGAACAAAATTATGTATTATGTATTATTATGTTCTATTTGGACATAAAGTATAGATAACAGTCCTGTCTCAGGGGGTCATCTAATTGTCCAAACACACATCTTGTTCTTTTGAACCTCAGGTTGCCACATCATTTTGTGATGGATCCAAAATATATTGGGTTTTTTTTGGGGGGGGGGGGTTGCAACCTTTTCCAATATCAGCTTCATGTTTACTATTAAACTTTGTCCTTTTTTAAATCACTGCTTTTATAAAGTATTTTCTAAATGGGGCTAAACTCGATGTGTTTTTATTGGTACTTTTAGAACCCGTTTTATATCTGTGCTATGATGAAGTCATTGTTTTTTCATACACAAACACAGAACATCTGGGCCCCTTTATAGTGTGAGATAGGCCTGACCTCTCTAACTGGAGCCAAATGATAAAGGGGATATTTTACATGTCCCTTTTCTCCTTTTATGAACTTTTTGGCAACATTTTGAAAAGTAAAAATAAATTGGAAACCAGTGTAAGTTACATATGTCTAGTTGTAAAAAGATGGTTGGGTCAGTAGATTTTAAACACGTCAGGATGGGTTGCTTATTGCTGGGAAGGCAGCGTGAACCATGGTGGATGTCCAGTACTGTGCAAAAGTTTTGTGTTATCTCTTGTGTTTTTATATGTTGCTTTTAAAGAAGCCAGACCTTCTTGTCTACAGAGGTCTTGATCAATATTTCCTCAGGCTTTCAAAGGACTTTCTTTGGCAGCATTTACACTCATTTTTTAAAATCCAGTAAGGACCTTATCATTTTCATGTTTTTGTCCTCATGTTTGCTAATGAGATTAAATAACTCTGACTCATGAATCATCTGGGAATAGAAAAACCTCAGAAACCACAGATATGACGCAGCGTTGTGTCGGCACATTTAACTGAAAGCTTAGCAAATAACCAATTTTAAATATAATATTCAGGCACTGCATGTATACTCACTGCTGCATTTTAAATGAGTGTTTTTACACTATTTGTGCAGCCTAGACGTTACTTTCTATTTTAAGCAATCACAAACCAGAAGTTCTCAGAAAACAATTTTGACACTCGTACAATTCCAAGTTATTTGAGTCCAGTTTCCAAAAAAAAAAAAAAAAAATCCTAAACTTCTGAAATATTTTTATTTTGCTAAAGCTGTTAATTAAAGTAACATCACCCATTAAAATCTAATTTTCAGATAACTATTTTAACACATTTTTGGAAGCTGGCACTGACTGAATGCACTGCATGAATTATTATTATTAATATTTTCAGTTTTGCTGTCACTGTCCCTTATGATTTTGCTTTTCTCTCTGTTAAACAGGACTGAAATTAAGCCAGTGAAGGATGACTGTTAAGGTTGATTCAAAAAATAGAAAGAACTGGTACAAAGTACGAGGCTAAAAGGAGAGTGAGCTGATTTTCTTACCCCGTCTTGTTGCAGATGCCGTACCACTGGTATTTGAGGACTTTCAGGCAGTTTGGCCCTCCTTCAAATGTCCAGTCAGAGTAGATTAATGAATGACCCTCAGAGTTGTTGACTTTACCCTGAGAAGCAAGAGATGTACAAATGCTCTGACAAGCCATTAATAACCACATGAAAACACCCCAAAGGCCTTGGATCTGTGTTAGACGCTGACTTACTGGATGTTGGGCGGAATGTTGCAAAGTGGGAATGCATCTGTTGGTCACCATGAACACCAGTAAAGGCTCTG